CTAGGATTTGCTAGATATTTTAGCATAATAGTCCAATCATCATAACGAATCTATATCCTTGCTGATATGATTTTATAAAAGTAACTATATATGCTACAGTAGTTAGTCGAACATATAACTGGTCTTTCTTCTTTTCTGTCTAATCATATGAAGTATAATGATAATACAAATCACGCAAACTAGGTTCATTCAGATGATATGCAAGTATATCTCCTGCTAGAATTCTTTGACCAAATAGTTTACATATCGATCATCAGGAATTCTTATACCACAAAGAGTTATACTTAAATACTTCTTCTCATCAGAAGTATTATCATTTCTCACTATATTTCAAACTCATTTCGCCCATGTTTCAGGTTTTAACTTGAAAGCTCTCCAAGCCTGTTGGATAATTTTTGCACTATTAATTAATTGATATGCAACACTTTTCTTAATTTCTTTTGAAGCACAAGAATAATAAAATTCAGAGCTTTTTCTGTATCTAAAATAAATATTACCATAAATTACATTAATCTCATCATCACTAAGCGCTTTTTTACTTTTTCATTTCCATAATATAGATCTATAATATGCGATACGCCTTTTCTCTATTTTAGCAATGCATTTATTCAGATGCTTTTCTGCACATTTCTCAGTATTATCACAGATAAATACTAAGGAATCACATGCAGTGTAATAAACATAAAATGTGTGTCTCCCAGGTTTGAATTTCTCATCTTTATATTCTCTTTCAGTCATATGAATGTATTCATTCTTTGAGAAGAATCTTGGGTTATATTCGATAAGTTTCCTGAATAGAGCACGAATATGAGAACACCACATTTTTGGCGTTTCATCATTATATCTGTAATGCAGATTAGTTACTGCTTGTACTACTACAGGATTTAAACCAAAATAGTTAGTTTTAACCATTTTTATAGTTTATAACTAATCTTAGTAATTTATAGCTGTTTAGTGATTTATAGCATTTTTAGCAATTTATAGCAAGTATATTATAATAAAATATCACATTCATTTTTATTCAATTACAAGAATATCAGGATTTATATAGGGTCATCTCTTGGCTACTGCAATACTGTATGCATATAAATTGGCTCTCATGATTAACAGGTGATTTTTCCTGACATCATGATCCTAGGAAATACTAGTTAATGTCACTGCTGTAAAAGTCCCACCCACTTATAGTAATTCATGACCAGTTAACATCTTAAAAGACATGCTCTTGATTATATGATAGCTTTGAAATTTTTTTTACAAACGAAAATTATAAATGATCTAAAAATTACATAAAGCTAAACAACTATCTTAGTATTAACCATGATTATGAATATTGCCTCCACTTTAAAAGATCCTGTAAAGATTTAGGGATTTTTAGAACATCCCGAACCGTATCTCCTTCATCATAGTTAACGTTAAAATCAAGTTCTTGCATTATAGAAAGCTGTTTCATAAACTCGTCCTGGAAAAAAGTCTCTTAAGTGATACAGGAAAATTGAGAAATACACCTGCATAATTACTTACGTGAAAAAGAACCATGAGATAAAGAACTGCTTTGTATTTTGATCTACCTTCGAATGAGAAAGGAATTATAGCAGAAGCTAGTTCGGATGCCAAAAAGGAACCATCATCTGTTATGCTAAGAGAATATAGCGTGATTCGATATCCTAACAACCAAGTACAATACAGATCAATAACTCGAAGTTCTCATTTTTTAAAATAAAAAAAACACCTACCAATAGCTTGCAAACTGAACACCTTTATATTCATCGCAGTCTTTACAGAAATATCCAAGTGATCGAGCAAAAGTGCAACCAGATTTAAGATGTCACTATGCAATGACTTCTTTGTGTCGCCAACTGCATGATCTGTTGTTGGTAATGATGGTGGACCAGCAACCTCCATATGCCATATTTCTTTATCGTCAAACGATCGGACCCCTTTCGGTATTTAAGAGGCCATTGTTATATAAATATTTATTATAAATGAAATTATTAAAAAACATTTTACCCTTCGCATCCAACTTAACAATTCCAGAGCTAGTGGATGATTTCGTCAATTTCGCTGATAGGGAGTGAGATTCAATCCAGTCGATGGATATATTTCCGAATGTTGTTTCATAAAATTTAAAAAGTGAAGACAGATTTTGTACGATATACTTTCTCTCTCCAATTTTTCTTGAGAGGGTTGGGAAAACATCTACCAGGTTGTAACTAGAGCAAAAAGTAAGAATAAGCGTTTATTCATTGTAGGTAACAATAAGTGACAAAGACTTACAAATCCATCAATATCTTTTCACAATATAGGCGGAGCTTGTTCTCATTATCCCCCTCAATCTTTAGCATAATAGCCTCCTTGAAAGCTTCTCTCGACTTCTACAAAATGAGCAGAAAGACGTCAAATATGTTCCAATCTGCCACTAATTAATATCCATGAGAGCTTACCTTCAAAGCATTTTCAAGATAGCTCTCAATTTTGGTCCACATAGGCGGTGTCTGAACATGAATTCGGTTATACTTCAAAGTCTGTCCCATTGCATCAAGATAGCTAACACATAATAATAAAGTAAACAAAATTTACTTGCTATAGATTAGATGCTTACTATGAATATGGAACTCACCAAATAACCTTCTCATCATACATTTGTCGCTTGTTCGGAGTATGAACAGGAGTATGAATAGGAATATCATAATTTCGTGGTTGATGAGGCGGTGTTTTTGCTTCGCTTTCTTTGCCGTGTTCCTAAATGGTAATAGTATTATGTCAAATAAATTCACTACATTTTCAATAATTAAAAAATTACCGTACCACATCTAAATTCCCCGAATTTGTTGCTATTTCGGATTCATCGCTGGATGAGCTATCGTCATCATTACTATCCCGTTTGTATTGCAAAAGGAAGTCAGAATTTTTAGCCCGGTTACAATAAACCCAATAACAATCATCACCTTATCAGTTTGATGCGTTTTGTTGCTCTTTCGCCTTCAGATGTTGTCAATCTCGTTTCTGGGGAAACTTCCCATTTATCATTTAAATTTTCTATCTTCATTGATTCTTTATATTATAATTTTCTTGATTCAAACTCGGCCTGAAAGAATCACATACTTTCAATTCTATGTGCTCTTGTTAACATGTAATTTCATTCACATCATTGACTTGCCTTTTTTTCTATTCTCTCAAGCAAATCCTTAACTTCTCGCCTTTTAGCAGTCTTTTCAAAGGTAGAACAGATGGAGGAAGCTTTGTTTCGTGCATGACTCAATATATTTTGTTGATCGCTGATTGATTTAACCTTTCTTTTCATGTTGTCAAGAATTGATTCTCTATCTTCAAAATTTATAACAGCACTTTCCAATATGTATTGGAGACAAGCAACTATCGACCATTCTTTATATGGTCTTTTCTTGAAGAAGGAGGAGATGGCCTTCGAGTACAAGGAAAGAAAAAGATTAGTGCGAGCATGTATATTTAAAAAGAGTTAGTCTAATAATAGAACATCGACAAGATGATATTCTGGTCAAGAACCCGCTAACGTGGTATACACTGGAGGAATACAGCAGTGCTGAAGCGTCCAGGTAGGTCGCTAAGGAGTGTCTTTCCAAACATCGGCCATATGTGGTCCTCGAGAATATAGAGGGCATATGGGCGTAGGATATCATCGAGTCCGGCTTTCTGGTAAAAGAACCCACTAGCATGGTATACACTGGAGGAGAACAGCAAGTGCTGAGACGTCCAGGTAGGTTTCTAATGTGTCTTTCCAAGCATCGGCCATATGTGATCCACAGGAATATGGTGGGCATATGGGCGTAGGACCGTTTGATGTAGTAATATAAAATAAAATAGGAACATGTTACTAACTTTGTTTATCTTTGTCATATGCTCATGAGACGAGAGGCTAGGATATACTGTATGGGCACGTCAAATAGAAACACGGTTTTTGAAAAAAAAATTATTATTGAAATGTGTCAGATCATGTGATGTCTGATTACGATCGACATATTTGATGTCTCGTGAACATTATTTCGTATACGAAACTTGCATGCACATCACATATCCATGTTGTAATCATTCTCAAAAAAATTACGAGACCGATATGGCCAAACTTTATTAATAATTATAGAAGTGAGCGGAAAATATTAGAGAAGCGAGAGAAATATATGATGCTATCAAAGAGGGAGGGAGTACGCGGATCCTAGGCCATTTAATGCGAGTCCCAGCATCAAGTTATTTTTTTGCTCTATTGTAAATTTCTATACTAATTGTTTTTTCCTATCGCTATCACTATTGTTAACTAAGAGATTTTTACACCAATACTCTTTTTCTACACTAGATTTCCGAAATAAATTATCCCATACAAATTTCGCATATCTATATCACCCCACCCACACAGACATAATATTCCCTGTAAGAAAACTTCTCCAAGGTTAGGTAATTTCGAACCTACAGCATAAATTGGGGATTAGCAATTGAGATAAAAAAATAAGGCAATGTAATACACTTACCATTACTATTAATTTTCGCAACATTCCATTTCGCCTGAAATTTATTACTTAATGCATTATAATAAAGGTATTTCGATTTTTTATCGCATGTACGATACTGCGCAGAATTCGGCAAGTGATGATTCCTGGTATACTGCGCCAGACCTTTGCTGTGAAGTTGCATGTGACGAGATTCATGTGACTGCGTCCATTGAACGCGTATGATGGTCTGTGATTTTCTCGGCGAAGATCTACATAAAGTATAAAATAAAATTTTGATTATCACGATTTTGTGTTCAATTTTTAAGGATTTGTACCACACCGTTTTTTTTTTTTTTTATATAAAAGCTTAAAATTTCTCCTTTCGCAAAGCTTAATCGTCAATCATAGTAAAATGCAGCGTGACAAAAAATGAAATTTTTTTTTATATATAGTTTGTGTTTGATGTGTTTGATGTCTTTTTTTTAGTTCCATCATCATCGTAACTTCATGACTTTGGTTGCTTTTCCCTAATTTTTAAGTATGATACACTTTTTTGTTAGTGTTAATGAAGGACAAAGAAATATAATCAGTCAGCAAATTATTAAAGTGGCTGAGGACGCATGTATATTTGGCGAAATATATGAAGCAACTACTGAGGGCATATTTGGCAACCGGGATGTAAAAGTCTATGTAGGAAAAGGGGATGGCAAGTGGAACTATCTCAAAGAAGGACTTTGTGATGAAATATCTTTAATGTCAGAGCTAGGATTAAAATATATACGATTTATTGTACAAACTGAAGAACCCAATGACCCACCACAACCAATACAACCAACAGGACAAACTGCATTTGACGTTATGATAGAACACGCCCGTCAACCATACTTTCCAACAACAAAAAGGGAGGATACACAAAGAGATGTTTTATATAATGATATTATAGCATTGTTAAAAAAAAACAAAAAAGTGGTTGGAGTGAAACTCAGGAAAACTTTGCAAAAACATTTGTGGACCGTCTTGTAGCCCTTCTTTGGTATATTGATCCACATCATAGTACATTGGCTGCTCGTTCATTAAATGTTCCGGATACTTTTAAAGAATTAAATTTATATCAATGTGACAAATATTACAATAATTTTTATTTTACCAGACATCATAAAAAAGAATCACTTAAAAAAGACAAACTTGAGCATTTAGCACAATCATTGGAACTTTCAATTAGACAACCATGGGCAAGTGAAATTAAATGGATTGAATTTATTTCACAAGTATTTGAATTAACAAATATGATAAAAAAATATGCAAAATATTTACAAAGATTAAATTCTGAAATGAATGTCCGTCATAACAATAGTTTAGTAACACAAGATTTGAATCAAGATTTGCAAGTATATACTATCGAAGGGTCTCAAGAAATCAACATTAAATATCAAAAACTATTAGACTTTTTGCTTGAAAAAAATGTTTATGAGTTTTTTGATCTTGAAGAATATGTTCCATCTGATCTGATGCAAAAATATCGTTATATTAAAGACTTGCGGCTTAATTTTCCTGTAACAATTTATCGGTATCATCAAAGCAACTACCTTGGCACTCTTAATTATATATAAAAAATTCCATTATAATTAAATCAACGATCATAATCAGAATATGCACGTATAATATCAATAATTCAAGAAAATTTTACCAAAGTATTTTACGCGTCAAATGAGAAAAAATGTGTTAAATAAAGTATGAATTAATGAATTAATAAAAATTTTTATTTAATTATATTAATAACCTTATATTTATTATTTATTTTTTTTAAAGTATTCTCTTATAAAAAAAGTAACACCAGCTTTACTTCGTACCTTATATTATGATTTAACTGGTGATGCATCTGTAACATTAAATGCTATTAGTAAAGAAATTGAAGAACGATTACGAATTATACTTATGATTGAAGATCTATCAATTATTGTTGATTTATGAATTAATAGTGGTTTTAAAGGCAAAAGATTTGATATTTTTTGGGATGAAATGGAAGCATATTTTAATGAGGTAATATGTATTATATTGTTTTATCTTCATAACTTAATAATATATTATTTTATTTAATTATTAATTAGTCCAGAGCATAGCGAAGGACTATTATGGTTTAGGCTTAGTGACACAAAATGTCATTCTGTCCACCCGCTTGACCTATGAGATGATGACGTTCAGTTACTGTGTTTGTCAGTATTACTCGTGATCATTTTCCAAATCTTATCAAATTTATTTAAAAACTTTTTGCATTAAAAAAAAAATTTTGCTTTATATTTTTTTTTATTTGTATTGTCATTTTTTCTGAAAAATGTGAATTAAAATAATATTTTGATGCTTTGTTCCTATTTTTTTTAACGCTTCGTATTGTTATGTTAAATTGTGTCTTCTTCTTCAATATTAATGAAACTAGTCATCCTTCTTCGAGCTTCCTTTCTTGTAACCTTTACAAGTTCTTTATACGAAGCAACCTTTCGAACGTAAACTGTTTGAAGAAGATATTGTTTAGTGAACGGACGCGTAATATTACGATGAAAGAATTTTTTACATTATATCTCCAGAATATTTTCTCCACATCTCCGCCACATTCTCGCGTCTTTTACGCTCTGGACTTCACAACAGCCCTCATCGTTCCCTAGTATTTATTTTAATATATAGTATGCTCCAGTGGTTGATGATATACGACATGAACTTATTTTATATATGCTATTAGCAATTTCAGTTTGAGATTTACGTAAAATTATAGTAAAACGATTGGAAATCAAATAATTCATCATTACCATTAAATATTAATATCCTATGTAAAGAATGGATTTGACTTCAATTTTGGCTAATTAATCCTACCTCAGTAGCAGCAATGCATTATACTGATCGTTTCAATATTAAATATCAAGTTCAAGCTAGGCAATTACATAAAGATCATCTGGATACACATTACTGTGCTTGCTTATTTCGATATTTACGTAAATTTGCCATTCTTTATTGTAATTATGTTTGTTTCATTTCTGCAGATGACAAACATAAAGTACCAATTGGAGAAGGCGTAGCTATATTAACTGGAATATGTAATAAAAAAAGCATGGTTAATACAAATACTACCCTTGTAGCAAGTGATTATAATTTCACAAAATTATCTCTTATCCTATCTGTAATCATATAAAAAGGAAAATGATTGAGTTTGATAAAATACTAATCCCCAAATATCTGAATTGGCATGCTAAATTAAGTGGATTACCAAGCGTTTTGACAGATAAGATTCGTTCCAATTTATACAGAAGATATAAAAAAGAAACTGGAAATGAGCTATGGCAATTATCAGAAGCCCGCATTCTCAGAAATTCGAAGTCAGAAAATAAAGTATCATATTTATCTTTTCCTGAGCCATGTGAAAAAAAAGGATCCATCACTTATAAAGCCAAACCTGATCTAGAATTAATTATCAAGTCTGTTTTAAAGCATTTCATATACCTGAAATTTCGAAATAGTTTTAGAGGGATTGATAATTATATTTTGCATCACCCCAGCTATAAAGCTCACCATGTCCTATTTGCAATAGAAAACATGGGAATTACAGATTACATGGTGAATGATATAAAAATGAAACAGAATATTGTCTTACTTGCTTCACTTCAAGCAATAAATTCAAATTCGCGATTGTAGCATAGAAACTCTGTCATATGAGACCGATTACCTGAAATGCGCAGTATAATATTTTTGCTGAATGCATTCATTTTTTCTGAAGTCTTGCAAATACAAAAATAGGTCATACCGTAATATGAAAAAAGTGTCAGTGAAAAAAAATTCATATGAAACATTGCACAATTAAGGTAGGAGTACTTTAATGAAGTGACTCAGGATTACAAGCTAATAGTATTTTTCATTCTGAGATTTTTTGAGGATCACGAAAGCATCAATGAAACGGATTATGGAATTAATAATAGGATATTGTATTAGTACAATGTATAGGATAATCCTTGTTATATATCGCAGATTAGCTCTCAATTCTTGTAATTTATTTTTGTATAGATTGCAGTATCTACAGTTATTAATTATAACATATTTATAAGGCTAGACTAATTAAAATGTTTGTTTAACATAACATATAAAATTATAACCGAGGAGTGGGAGAAGAGATATAAACAACAATAAGTAAAGTTAAACAAATATTAAATTTTATTTAAATTAATTTAAAAATTTAATATATATAATTTATGTATAATTTACATTTTTATTTATAAATTTTTATTATAAAATAATAAAAAAATATTAATTATTAATGCCTCTTTTTCTTTTGGTATTAATTTTAATTTCAATTTGTGTATAAAAATCTTTTCCTTCACTTTGACATATACTACATAAAGGAAATACAAATTTATTTTTAGAAGTTATACATGTTGGAAAATCCACCAATCCTTGATCATATTCACACTAATAACATATAGATGAATTGTTTTTACGTGATGAATAATAACTTAATTCAATTGGTGATTCACATGATATTTTTTCATGAACATATAAAATATTATAAAGTTTATGATTTTTGGGTACTAAAGGAGATCCACAGCTATAATTCCAATTATCAATAATGCATTGAAATAAAGATCTTTGTGTAATAGTTAATACCTTTTCACTATATAAACATCAAAATTTTTCACATTGAAAGCATTGAATAATATCACAGACTTTTGTGTTTGTAAAAATAGTTGATGGTACCCGTTTTGCATTCTCTATAGTTACCATTAATGTAGGACGATATTGTTCTATAGTTGTTTTACCATATACATTTTTAAAATCAGCATAATGATCTTTTTCTACTATTAAATACCAAAAAAAATATTAAAATTTGTAATGGTTACTATCAAAGATTAATAATTATAAGTAAACTTACATTGTACAGGTACTGGATCTGAAAGAAAGCTAATGTTATCAAATATATTTTGTGGAAGACGAATTATATCACATATATTACAATTTATATTATTACATTTTTTAACCTATATATTATATAATTTAATTTTAATATTTTATATATTTAATATTAATTTTAAATATTAAATATACCTGAAAACTATAATAGCGAATTTGACAATGTATTTGTATAAATTCCTTAAGCTCAGTTTTTTTCGAAAGAATATCTGCAGTTGTATCAGAATCTTTTAATGTTTTATCAATAAAAAGAATTATCTTATAAAAAAAAAATATAATTTAATAATAATATTGTTTTTTAATTATTAATAATATACTATAAAAATTACCTCAAAAAATTTCTGAATAGCTTCTTCATTAGCAGATTCATGAGATTCAAAAGGTATATCATATAAAACCAATCGTTCAGTTCATGTACATAATAATTGTTAAACATTACAAATACAATTCTTTAATTCAACTTTAAGATCTTGATTTTTTTCAGCAACTTTTTGAATTTGTTCTAATATATCAGCTTTTCCAAAAAGTTCTTCTAAATGTGAATTCATTGTATCTCACATAATTGCAACTCCTTGAAGACCTAGATTAATTATTGACATTATTCGTTTTGCTGAATTTGCCTAGCTATTATGAGAAGCAATACATAATGCAATAAGAACATCAAAGTCATCACGAAGAAATAAACAAAGAAGAGATATTTGAACTGAACTAAAAGTAGTTCAATGATCAGGACCACTATCCGTATAAAGACAAAGAATAGGAGGTATATTAAAATTATAATATATTTGAATTGCATTATAAAATTCTGTTGCATGCCTAATTGCACTACTAGGTTGAAAAAGAGTATCTTTATATGAAACAAAAACTTTGTCATGATAAAAAGAATGCTCAATGGTTTCAGAAATATCAATAAAAAATATTACAGATGAGGTAAGAGATAATTTTGTAAAATTATGATCACTTGCTACAAGGGTAGTATTTGTATCAACCATGCTTTTTTTATTACGTATTCTAATTGATGTAGCTACACCTTCTCCAATTGGTACTTTGTGTTTGTCACCTGCAGAAATGAAACAAACATAATTACGATAAAGAATGGCAAATTCACGTAAATATCAAAATAAGCAAGCACAGTAATATGCATCCAGATGATCTTTACATAATTGCTTAGCTTGAACTTGATACTTAATATTGAAACGACTAGTATAATGCATTGCTGCTGCTGAGGTAGGATTAGTTGGCCAAAATTGAAGTTGAATCCATTCTTCACATGGGATATTAATATTTAATGGT